CCGGAGCTGCATCTAATACGTCCCGACAGACAAACTTGAGGAGGATCGAAGCCCGGAAGACTTGCTCGAAGAAGAAACGTGTAGTGATCGAACAATTGTACGAATATTTCAATTGGCGAACTAACATTATATTTGTCGCAAAGATTCAGATAAGGGTAGTTATCGACGTTTACAGATGATTTAACCTAACACAAATGGTATAGATGATTGAACCTAATACAAATGGTAACTTTCTTTCAGACTTATTGAGTATCCTCATGTTTTTGGGCAAAATTTAATTGATGAAATATAAATATGTGGCACAGAAATTGTACCGTTATAAACCTCTTTCGAATGCAAATCCAATAGTATATTTTCTGTAACGTTTACCTCATATTTTATTAATCATTTGAATTATAAAAAAGTTGTTCAAAAAAATTATAAAAAATTAATCCAAAATACGAAAGAGCCTAACGAACTCGGACCAAGGGAGCACTAGAATATTATTATCGTTTTCTGTGTCGCACTCCACAATTTTTCAGTGTGCAGCACAAACGCGTGCGCGCGGTCACTCAGGCTACACACAAGGAGATGCACCTGCGCAAAGAAAAAGCTATGCATGACTCTGACGGCAGCCCACGCCGCTGATGATACGTCGATGCAGACGTGAGTTAGTGCTGGAACTTTGATTAATTAAACCTTTTATTAATCACACGGGCGAAGTGCCATTCGCTAGCGGTACGGCATACGTGTCGTGATCGCCGGAGGCGACGCGCTGCATGCCCGGGCCGGCGTCGATTGTGTTCATAAGTTACAGAAGAAGAAATTCAGCGAAAAATAACAGCAGCAGAGGCAACGACACGCTGCCCGTGCTCTTGTCTTCAGCGGATACGGTCGGTCGATGTGGATCGCGCGAGCTATCTTCCGCTTTTCTCTTATTTTGATTTTGACATTCAACATGTAAATAAATTAGCCAATGTATCGGCCCATCTTTGTGCTTAGCATGCATGATTGCTCGCTGATGGTCACTTAGAGTTGGACTGATTCTAGACCTTCCTTCATGCTCACCAGCTAGGCTGAATGAAGACAATCAAGTTTGATCTGAAAAAAATTATGGATGTACGTTCAACAAACGATGTTGCCTCGCAGGTGAGCGTGCACGCACAAAATGAACGTGTCATTCAGCACCGTCTACGGCGGCACGCTACATCCTTTTTTACGCTACCTTCTTAATTAGTTGCCTGCATCTGTCTGGAACTCTCAAAGCTCCATTTTTTTCTTAGGGTTAGATTAATTAGCATGTCAACAAGAAATCGCACTGTATGGGTGGTGAGCATCAGGTTAAGCTAGCTGTACGTGCGTAGCTGTAGGCGGTATTAGCAGGCTCGTTGACCACATCCACGTGCGTGTATGTGTCCGCTACGATTTGACCAGACATGAATATGTCGCTTCTGCACCTTTTGTCCCTTAGAAATCAGAAAAATACCACCATACACCCCCAGAAAACGGACGCATACACAATCTAATCATTCTAAATTAATTGAAGAGCCTGCTAATACTGCCCAATAGCCGCCTCCTCTGTTTAACGTATACTCACATGGTCTAATCTTTTCAAATTAATTGAAGAGCCTGCTAATACTGCCCAATAGCCGCCTCCTCTGTAGAAAAAATGTATACCCACTTGGTCTAATCATTCCAGTTTTTTTTTTGCGGGGAAATCAATCATTCCAAATTAATTGAAGAGCCTGCTAATACTGCCCAATAGCAGCCTCCTCTGTGAAAAAATGTATACTCGCTTGGTCTAATCATTCCAAATTAACTGAAGAGCCTGCTAATACTGCCCAATAGAAGAGGAGGAGGAGGAGGAAGAGAGACGCGTTCGGGGAGGACTTTTGAGTCTACCCCACCTCCTACACCCCAATATAAAGTGGGCAATTGGCCCATGCAAGACAACCAAGATCTACACAAGCTATCACCTAATAGTTAGAAACCCTCACTAGTAGAAAACAGGGCTTTGGTCACGGGGCAATATTCACATTAGTCCCGGTTCAAAGTCCCGGTTCGTGCGGC